TCGGGACCGGGAGCAGCTAGACACCTTCATTGACCAGTTGTACAAGGACATCGAGGCAGGTAGGTGAGATGGGACTGTGGTTTCCTCTACCCTTGGAGCCTCCCTCGTCAGATAGTGGACGTGTTCTTACCAGGGAGCTCTAAGCTTATGAAGGGAAGGGAATCCCTATGTGCCCATGGGAAGCCTCAGAGCTATCCGCAGGACTTGGAAGTGAAAAGTGGTCCTGAGACCCATCCTGAGGCTCCATGATGGGGGGAGTGAGAGTGCCAGATAAGTAGGTAGTGGTACAGTCAGAAGAGCAAGGCTTCTTGGAGAAGCAAATTTAGGCAAAATGGTAGAGCCTGGGTGTCTAATTTGGAGGGGTGGCAGGAGAGCAGAGCTGATGTCTGTTCTTGTGAGTTTAAATTCCTTTTTCCACTGTATCTGCACATTACTTTCTTACAGCAACCGGAGAGTTCCTTAACTGTGAAGGATCTGGTCTCTTCGTGCTTCAAAGCTGCTGTGAGTCTTGGACTGGGGAGGAATGGGCCTACATGCTTCTTCCCTACAGGCCATCTTTCCCAGTTTGCTCCTTCTAGGCTGACCAGGACAAGTCTGGAAGTAGGGTTACATCTGTGTTTCTTTGGAGATTTTCTTGGAAATTATTGCTCTATCAGTTTCTTTGTTTCTTTCTCATTTGCTTGTTGGTGGTGTTATTGGGAGTCCAACCCAAAGCTTCGTCTTCAGCCTCCTTCTTGTTTTAATAGATATTTGCAATGGGCCACATCCACCTACAGGGGAATGGACAGAGTTCTGCTTCTTGCAAAGGGAAGCTTGGGCATTGCACCACCACTGCCCTGTGGAGTATAGTCAGGAATCACTGAGAGCCTGAGGCATGTAGGATCTTGGGGATGAGGGTTGGGCTGGAAGTCTCTTTAGCACCTTCTGGGAAGGCTAAGGCTACCTCCAGTCAAGACTTTTCCAGATCCCAGCCTTCCACCACCCACTTTCCCCACTACTAACTCTCCTTCCAGGTTTTGTGGTCAGGGATCCAAGTCAGTAGACAGAAATAACTGGTCTGTTGTAGGCCCCTCAGAGCCCAAGCCTCCCTCAGTGAGACAGTGGGACACAATGGTCAGTTTGGGGTTTGTATGGAGTCCACAGTGAAACAAAACACTTTGTATTTCACTGTGGTCTTCAGGAAAGAACACTGGGTAGGGAAACAGGAAATGATGTCTCAGACCTGCCCTTCCCTGCAGTGTTTAACCACAAAGAAAGAGACTCAAAGCTCTGTTGATTAAGGTCTTTCTTTTTTTTTCTTTCTTTTTTTTTTTTTTTCTTTTTGAAGAGCTGGAGAGATGGCTCAGTAATTGAGAGCACTGATTCTCTTCTGGAGGACCTGGGTTTGGTTCCTCACATGGCAGCTCACAACTGGCTATAACTCCAAGATCTGACACCTTTACACAAAAATACATGCTGGCAAAATACCACTGCACATCAAAATAAACAAACAAACAAATACTTTTGAAACAGGATCTCGTGTAGTCCAGGTTGACCTTGAACTTGCTGTGTAGCCAAGGATGACTTTTGGACTCCTGATCTCTGGCTCTACCTCCTGAGTGCTGACTCTATAGGTATACCGTGCCCAGCAGGTTTTGTTTTGTTTTGAAACAAGGTCTCGTGAGTCCTGACCAGACTGGAACTCCTTGTGTAATCATGGATCTCAAACTCATAGCAAATCTTATCTGGCTTGTGTGAGATTACTTGTGTGAATCACTATGCTTGGCTTGAGAATATTAGTTTGGTTTCATTCGTTTTGTTTTTTTTTCATATATATTATTTATTTTTTTGAGATAAGGTCTCACTGTGTAGCCCTGGATGACCTAAAACTTGCTATGAAGACCCCCTTGCACCACCTCCTGAGTACTCTGATTAACGGCCAGTCTCACCATGCATGGCTGCTGTTTTTAACATTTATTTATACACATAGGCTACGGTGGGCATGTGGAGGTCAGAGTCAGTTCTAGGGATGACACTCAGGTTGTCAAGCTTGAAGTAAGCACCTTTACCTGCTGAGTCATCTACTATCCTAGAACTACCATTTTTAAAGCTGATTCTCATTGTGGGCATAGTGATGCACTTATGAGTCAGAGGCAAATGTCACAAGTTCAAGGGTAGCCTGAGGTACATAGCAAGACCCTGATTCAAAACTAGGGGCTGGGAGTGTAGACCAGTTATGGAATGCTTGCCTAGCATATGCAAGGCCTTGGGTTATAAACACACACCTATTCTCTTGTTATCTGTCTTTTGTGACTTAGGCAACCACAGCTGTGTCCCCAATGCAGAGACTTCCTTCCCAGAAAACAACTTCCTTTTACATGTTACCGCCCTGGAGGATATTAAGCCAGGCGAGGTGAGAGGCCGGCAGTGGGGTGGGCACACGGGCCTTGCCAGGTGAGGTGAGGGGCCGTCAGTGGGGTGGGCACACGGGCCTTGCCAGGTGAGGTGAGGGGCCGGCAGTGGGGTGGGCACATGGGCCTTGCAAGGCAAGGTTAGGGGCCAGCAGTGGGGTGGGCACACAGGCCTTGCGGCTTCTCGTTATGAAGCAACAGTAACTGGCTGGAGCCCCTTTGTTGGGATGGCGGTGAATCACCGCAGGCCCCAGGGCCTGAGTCTCTTTAGCAGTGAGTATCCTCTAATCTCTCCCAGTTCTTTAAATATCTTCAGAAAGTCTCAGATTGAGGTAGAGCTAAGTGCCCAGTCCCGAACCCCAGCTACCTTTTTGATTTCTTTGTGGCTTGGGCCATAGGAGCTAATGTGGATTGGAAGTTCTGGTTGGTGACCATAGCCTGACAGTTTCTCCTACACAAGTTATCATACCAAGATTAACCTCTGATCCCATCTTCAGACCTTGGCTACTGGCTGGTTTTCCCCAGGGCTTGAGACCAACCTCCATTCCTTGTCTGTCTTAGACCCAGATGGGAGTCTTGCCAGCTGGAGGCATGGGGATGGATCAGTGCTGAAAGACATTGGAGGCCTAGCTCTCGGGCAGGGAACAGTGGTGGATAGTTGAGGAAGCTCTTTTCCTTTCTGGTGGAGGGCATAGGCAATCAGACCCTCCTCTTACCCCACAGGAAATCTGTATCAGCTACTTAGACTGCTGTCAGCGGGAGCGCAGCCGCCACAGCCGCCACAAGATCCTCAGGTGCCAACTGGGGACAGGGTTGGGCTCTGGGCTTTTCTGTCCCAGCAACTGTCTGACTTGTCACCCCTCTACTTTGAAGGGAGAACTACTTGTTCATCTGTTCCTGTCCCAAATGCCTGGCAGAGGCTGATGACCCCAATGTGACCTCAGAAGAGGAGGAAGAAGAAGATGAGGAGGAAGGAGAGCCAGAAGATGCAGAGCTCGGGGATGAGATGACTGACGTGTGATGTTACCTTGCCTGGAAGGCCCTGCCCAGACCCTGCTGGAAAAGGGGGCCTGTCCTCCACAAATGTGGATGGAAGGAACATCCCCTACCCCTTGCACCCACTGCCTGCTTTCTCCCTTCTAGCATTCTGCTGGAGGGTAGGATAGAGGCTGGACCCATGCCCACCCGTCACCAGACCTCATGCCCTGAGCAACTGCTGCTGAGCTGCATCGGACCTGTGCCATCACCAAGCCTTCCAGGACTGGCCTTCCCCTGCCATGCTCCAGTGAAGCTGTGAGACTGCAATCAAGTTTCAGGCCTCATAGTGTTCTTCCTCTGGGCCCCTTAGCCCAGACTCAACTCATGCATCCACCAGAGGCTTGGCTCCTATTGACTGGCTATTAATTTGAGGGTGGCAACAAAATGGCCAATCAGAGAGCAGACTGGTTTCCTTGACTGACAGAGGTGATGTGAAGCCTTACCTCTTCCTTACTGCTCACCTACCACAGCTGCAGCTGAAGTAATGGGCCACCACTTGGCAGCAACAGACAGGAACAAGGGACTAGGCCTTTAGAACAAAACTGCAGAAAGACTCTCCAGGGGTGCTGGGCTGTTCCCACTGGACACTGGAGAGATGGAGATTAACCTGTTCGACTCCAGAATTGCTGTGCCCGTGTCTTGCCTCTGAGGCTCAGGCAAGGGGGCTAGCTTGTTAAGGTGTTGAAGAGGCCTATCTTTATCAGGATGAAGACTACCACCCTTTCTCAGACCAACAGTATGGCAGATGACAGATTGTGCTCCACAATTTAGGATCCCCAATCTTCCCCAGACCAACTGCAGTGGTCCAGCAAAGGGTCTCTGGATCTCCGACATCCTCCTGTAGGGTCTCCATAGAGGACACCAAAGTCTTTCAGAAACCTGAAGGAGCTGGGCAGGATGCATGAAAATGAGCCGGGGCTTGTTCCCTCATTGCCACAGATGACCATCTCACTCTTGGGGTGGACACTGTGGGAATTACAGCTACCACTCCCCGTTTGTTCCCTGAGAGGCCTGCACATGGCTCTGCTAGCTCCCAGGGAGGACCAGTGCCTATGCTACAGGCCCTTTTCAAGGTGGAGCCAGATGGAACATGCTTGACTGGCCCCCTTACCTATTGGGCACACTCCTTCACAACAGCCAGCACCCCTCTTCCTTTGGTATGCCCACTGGTCTCAATAAAGTGTGAGTGGTGATAGGCCTCTGCAGCAGTGCCTGCTGGGGCGTGGGCTGGGTGGACCTCTCTGGGCCTGCAGTAGTCAAGGAGGTGAATGCAAAGGGCACAAGTTAGACCAGTGGGTGGCAGCAGAATACTCCAGGTTCCTCAGCAGTGTTCATAGTGTCCCCACACTGGTGTGTAAATGTCCTTAAAGCCAGAACAAGAGTCTCAGGTTTGATTTCAATTGCTGACTCTAGGCCATAAGAGTCTTCTTCCCAGAGTGCTGGACCACAACTGGCAGTCTGATGGACTTATCCAAAAGGACCTTGAGAAGCCATGGTCATCTTTGAGCCTCCCCTAAAATCAGCCTTATGATATGGGAGTAAGCAAATGAGCTCTCCCACACCCATGCATTCTTAGTTTAGGACACAGGCACAAACCTGATGAGCTTTATTTGGCTTTATTGCTAAAAGTAGGGGCTTACTAGTCCCCAAGTACCACTTCTTTAAACCACTTCAGCAACAGCTACAAGGCTCATTGAGGAGGTCCTGGCTGCTGGAAGCTGAAACAGGTGCTATGTGTCAGGGCCACCTGCCTTTAGCACCTTTTGTTCCAAATTCTAGCCAGATGCCTCTTCCTGAAGCATGAGATGTCCTTGCAGGCCCCGGGGAAGGGAAAGCGGGAGTCTGGCTGCCCTGTCGTCTTAGTGGCCCCACTTGCCCTCAAAATCTATCTCCAAACTTTCAATAGCAGAATCTTGGGGTTCCTCTTCCCACGAGTCAATTGTCACTGGAACCTGGAGTCAGCTTTTCTACCAGAAAGTCCACGGAGGTTGCAGCAGCTCAAAGGTAGGGATACTGGTGACATTGACTGGGATAGAGATGATGGCCCATGGTAGCCCATGCTGTTCCAGAGAACGTCGGATCATGTAGCTGGGAGGGCATGAAGAGCAGTAGCGATGGTCACTTTCTTAGCACCCAACACTGCCCTCTGCCCCAGTTACTCTGGGAGTTCCAGAAACTCAGAACTTTTTTGCCCTCTGACTGGGATATTCAAGACAGGGCCTGCGAGAGGGTGATTGTTTTTGACCCCCGCCAAGTCACGATACCCAGTGTAGTATGGCCTGCCAGAAGCAATGAGTCCTCACCCATCTCGGCCGAGCAGGAAGAGGGCAGGAATGTCAGCTGTGCGTTGAGTACTATCCTGAATCATCTCCACGTAGAAACTGTCATTGTCAACTGCATTGTCCGAGATGATCACAGCCCGCCCACCATGCTCCTGCACCACCCTGGTCTTAGAGAGGAAGGAGCAGCCCCTGGGAAAGGTGGTGATGGGATCAAAAGAAGGCATGTGCCAGCTGCCCCTCCCTTACGTCCTCTCTGGGAGGATGAAACGACCACAGAGAGCTCATAGTGAGGTTCGTCAGGACGCAGCTGAAAGTAGACATTTCTTAAAGATTTGTAAAGGATGAATTATTTTAAAATCGACATTTCAAAGTACCATAAGCTGTGGTCAGAATCTGCCCTTCCCGTGTGTCACGCCTGCCCACTCCTTACCCCCTTTCCACCAGAGCGATCTGGTCCTGGATGAAGAAGCCGTTGCTGAGTTCCCCACAGGCCTCTGGAGGTTCAGCAGGGACGAGGTGAATCTGCTCATACCGTGTATGCTGAAAAATGTTTAGACATTTGGACAAATAAGAGTGCAGGCAGACACTTTTTGGAACAGGCTAACAATTCATCTTACTGGTGCCTCATAACGGGTAAGGGCAGGAAATGGAGTGGTCTCTCTATGGCTGAACACCTGAGCACTTTAATCTGATTCTCAGAGTTCCGTCTGACTACTCAACCTCACCCTGCCTTACTGTGGGAGGGGAACTGGTTATAACCCAGAGACAGGGAGAAGTAGGTGGAACTGACAAGACAGCTGGCACTCTTGGTTTTCTAGGTAGTTTCCACCAATAAAGACAGTCCCTCCCTGGTTTTTATAGTATGCAGCAGCTCCTGGAGGGCATAGCTAGATTCTACTTCTTGCCCTGTCCCAGCATAAAAGTCAGATGAGGGTCACCATGGCTAAATGATGGCAAGGTGACTGAAGGTCAGAGATCTGGGCATCTTTGAACTTACAAATATACCACCAAAGTCCTTGGCAGGTGTGGCTGTGAAGATGTAGCGAATATCCCCAGGACTCAGCACTTGGAAGTATAAGTAGTCATGGATGCGTAAGCCTAAAGGAAAGAGTGTAAATGAAGACTTCTCCAGAGCAGGCTGATTCAGGTTTGGATTAGGGGCTTCTTATGTCTTTAACTGGTCTGGGTCCAGAGACCCTGGCATCAGCTAATTGGATCCTCAGTGTGATTTTTTTTAACTTATTTTTTTAAAACAGAGTCTCACTGTGTAGCCCTGACTGGCCTCAAACTCAGAGCTCCACTTGCCTTTGATATCTCCCACCCACACTCTTAGTGCTGGAATTAAGGTGTGTGCAATCATACCCAGCAATCTTTTTTTTTTCCAGTGGCCTCATACTGCCCAGGCTGGCTTTGTACTAGTTTTGTTTCCTTGGTGGGCCTTGAATCCTTTCTCCTAACTGCCTCTCAAACATGGATACAGGCATGCATCACCATGCCCTGCTGGAGAGCTGGTTTCTTTACTGGAGAGGGCAGACTGGATGCAGCAGATTTGTATTTGCTGCTGCTGCCGCCGCAGTAGGTGAACCACAAAGACCCAGAGCTCTTAGGTCAACATCCACCCCTTATTTGAAAAAATCCTAAGAGTTTCAGACAGGGAAGCCCCCAAGTTTCTAACCAAAACTAACAAGTTAGCTCTGGTCTCACTAATATCTCCTAGATCAGTCACTGTCATCTCTTGTCCTGACTGTTCCAACTTAATTCGTCTTGTTTCCATGTCTTCTTTTTCAGATTGGGGTTTTGCTGTGGCCCAAGCTAGTTTTCAACATTTTAGGCTCAAGCAATTCTCCTGCCTCAGTTTCCCATCTCCCTTCATTCTTTTTGTAATTTTAATTTAAACATATGTGTACTTTGGCTGCATGTACCTTCATGCACCATGTGTGTGCCGGGTGCTGGCAGAGTCGAGAAGAGAGCATCCGCTCCCCAGAACTGGAGGGACAGACAGCCTTAAAGTCTACCTGCCACCCACCCCACTGCAAGAGCTTCAGTGACTAAAGTGTATTCTGCTGTTGGCTGTGGTGGAGAACCCTGCCTGATTTGACTCCTATACCCACTCCAATCTTGTCTGCTCTTTCCCATGTTCAAGTTGTACTAGCTTTTCAGTTATTCATCTTTTTGGATCTTCCTAAAAGTTTACTTGTCATTTCTCAGATACTGCTTTGTTCCTTCCTACACCCACTCAAAATATACTTTCTTCCAGCAAATACTTCCTCTGTAATTATGGTAGATTCATAATAGTCTGCTTCTTTCATTAGAGCAATGATTCTAAGTATGTGACTTTACACAGCAATGAATCCCCAGTGCCTAGGACACAATGATTGCTCAGTAAAGGTTACTTTACAGAGAACTCTGCCCAGCTCTGCTGCCCTGAACAAGAGAACAGCCATAACAATCAGAGCTTTGCTATGATATAGAAACTTCTCAGCATCGAAGTTTAATGTTTTCCTGGGATTTGAGTCCCTGGATTCCTTAAATCCAGAAAGGCAAATCAATGTTGATGGATGGGATCTCAGGTCTGTTAGTCAATCCACTTATAAAGCTATCACTGTGTATGCTGTGGCCAGGACTGTGGCTATAGGTGTTCCCGTCTATGGTCCGAATCACAGGTCAGAGCTAAGGGGGCTTGCAGCTTTTTGTTCTGAGTGTAGGTACATCAGATGGATATCCATCAGATGGATATCCATCAGATGGATACACCCCGCAGGAAGCCTTCTGGATTAATATGAGGCAACCCATTCCTCAAGCACACTCCTGTCTGGAGTTTGATGAGCTTATCTAATAAGATTCCAGTATATGCATGTGTTCACTTAACGCGTAGGTGTGTACATTTATGTTCGACTTGTGTAAGTGGGTGCCCGTGCGTGTGAGCCCATGTGTGTGTTCCTGCCTATGTGATCGCTCACGTTCTCTGTTCTGGATCTCTAGCTGTCACTAGGGTCCCTCAGTGGAAGGAAAGCTGAAGGATCTTGCTTCGACGGGGAGGGGGGTTGTCGGGTTATGCCTACTCACAGACCCAGGAACCAGCATCCACCCGATGCAGCCGCCTGGCTCCTGGATATGGCCGGCCCAAACTCGCGGGGTCCCCAAGGTGACCTGTGGCCCCCGGCCCGAGCAGCGCGCACGCTGGATGCCCGCCCCGCCCGCCTGTCCGTCGCCGCTCACCGTGGGCCGCGACGCACGTGGGCAGCCAGAGCACGAGACAGCACCAGCCCGCGGCGCCACGGCTCATCTCCAGGGCCCGTCCCGCCGCCGCCGTCCCGCCGCGATCGCTCGCCGGACTTTAGCCTGACAGCTGCCACGGCCTCCCTCAGGCCCGCTCTCCGCGCCCGTTGGAGCGCGGAACGGAGGCCGGCGGCTGATTGGCCGCCACGCCTGTTCGTGTGGCCGCACTTTCCGCCTCTGCGCCCTAGGCCACTTCCTATTGGCCAAGAGAAGTGGAACCGGGAGCTGATTTGCCAAAACTCTTAATAGCAACTGCAGTTCGCAGCCCCGCCCCCGCACTCCTCATTATAGACGCACCTCCCCGATCCTGGGGTGGGCGGCTCGCGAGGACGCGCGGGATCCACGAGTCTCCTCTCAGACGCCGGCCTCGCGCTGAGGCAGCGCGCGACCTCACCCTCTGCAGGCGGCAAGACGGCGCTTCAGCCGATAAGGGGAGATGCAGAGCTAGAAGCCGCCCGGTGCAAGTTTCCCGCGCCCGAGCGGGCTGCGCACCTGTGACCCGGGACACTGTTCTCAACTTCCCAGGCTACCTATAAAACGCACAGAGCTCCAACGCCACGGAGCTGTGTGGGTGCAATGAGATCACTCACCTAAGGTGCTTCTCACAGTTGGTGTTCAATGTTGACATTTCATTGCATGTCTGCCATGGTGTCTGGGTACACGGGCTGAAGCGGGACCTTACTGCGCCCTCACAGACCAAAAGCATGTGACAACTCTATGACGCCGCCAAAGCTAACGCGAGTTCCTAGAGCGTCCCTGGACCTCCGACTCCTCTAGCCAGCCATCTCGGTAGCTAACCATAGAGTGGCGGAAGTGGTCCGTCCCCTTCCTCTCCCGGGCTTAACGTCTCGGCAGAAGCTTCTGGGGATTTCTCCGGCGCGGAGCATTGTGGGCTTAGGTGGGCGGCCCCTAGGCGGAGAACATACGAGTTGCGGGTACCAGAAGCCGCTTCCAAGATGATGGTGAGTGGCTCCCCGCACATCCGCTGCCATCCACGACCCTGCGACCCTGGTCTGCCTTGCGGACGGTCTACAGCGGCTCGTCCTGACCCCTTGCCTGAGAGCGGCCTCAACCCAAAGCTACAGCGGTTGGCCAGAGCCGAATGGGGCTCGCGATGCCACTGGGCCTGGAAACCATGGATCTCATGGTGCTTTGGGACCACGAGCCCCTAATTCAATTAATTCCCCGTAATGGAGGCTTGGGTTTTCGGAACCGAGTGTGTGTTGAGCTATATACCTCTACTATAGGCCCGGGTTACATCGCCCTGGGCGGCGGTGCGGAAGTGAAGGCGCGAGCTTCTAGGGTGCACAGAGGCAGCGTGAGGCTCTTTAGGTTGGGCCGAGTGACGCCCCGCCTGGCACTGTGGTCGCTTACATTCCTGCATGCGGAAAGACAGAATCCTTCATTCCTGTTGGAACCTGTTCTTTTCGCTCAGTCATTCAGCAGGGGCATTTTTAATTCTCCTGGAAAAGGGCAATTGTACACAGCATCAGAGATGGGAAGACCTGGGTACCTTCGGCAGGAGAATCTCTTAAAGGTCTGCCTGTAGTCCTCCTTCATCACCCCTTTATCCCTGACAGCACGTCAGATACCTCCCCTGTCCCCTGTGATAAGCCTGAGTTGTTGATGAGCAGTGTCAGCTTCCAGGACAGAATCCTGTGCGCTTGGCATCAGCACTCTTATTAAGTTTTGCTTTTTAGTGTCAATCCTATGTCTGCCTTTTGCAGCTTCTTCCTATCCCCATAGATTCCAGACTGACTTGATAACCTATAAGGTGCTCCTCCCTCTGCTACCAAATTACAGCTTTGTGATTACAGCTCCTACTCAGAAGGAACCCCTACAGAAGCTCCCTGACCCCTAGCACTGTCCTTTTCAGAGTTACTTATTCTTGAGATTGATTTGGTTGGCAAAGACCAGAGCTGAGGAGTAAACTCAAGACTCTTATGTGCTGCAGTAAATATCACTGCCGCAGATGTGACCAGTGTGGCCCAGCATTCCCCAAACAAGTAGCAAACCTTTTACCAAAGGGCCCCAGACTATCACATTTGGATTTTACCTGAATTGATGATTCTTCTGTGCAGTTGGTTTGTTGTTCTTCTGGGTATCCCTTCTTAAAATGTGAAATCTTCACCATGCTGTCAACAGGCTGGTTGGTGTCAGGTAGTCTAGAAGCCTTTGGTAATGGAGAGTTAAAAGGGTCCCCTGAAATTCTGATTTTCTGCTTTTAGTACATCTATAGCGGGAAGTGTCTTTTCCTTTTTGGCATTACATTTATGCTTTCAGTCATAGATAGATATAGTGCTGATCTTGTTCTATAGAATGTCAAGTCTAATGTTAATGGCAGTGATTTTTTTTTTATTTTTTCAGGTACTAGGTATTGATCTAAGGCCTCATTTGATCTCCTACTACTTAGCTATGACATGAATGTCTTTTTTTTTTTTTTTTTTTTTAATGCAGTCTTGCTCTTTGTAGTCCAAGGCTTGTTTGGAAGTCACTGTGTAGCCCACTGTGGTGATTGGTTTTGTTAACCTGACCCAACCTAGAATGACCTGGGAAGAAAGTCCCAGTGAGGGATTGTCTAGATTAGGTTGGTCTGTGGGGAATTAGTTGGGTTGCTTTAGCTGATGTGGGAAGACCCAGCCATTATGGGCAACGCTATTTCCTGAGCCTGGACTCAGGAGAGAGCTTGCTGAGCACCAGCTAGTGAGTAGCATGCATACATTAATTTTTCTCTGATCTTGGCTGTAGGTGAAGGTTACCTGACACCCTTCCCCCCTCCGACCAAGTAGCAGACAGTATCCTGGATTTGTAAATGAAAATAAACCCTTTTGCTTTTTGTTTTGTTTTTCCTGGTCAAGGTGCTATCACAGGGAGAAAGGAAACTAAGATACCTGGAGTGGTGTTGAACTTATAGTTCCGCCCCAGCCTTCTGGGTACCTGGAATTATAGGTGTGCACTACTGTGTTCCATTCAGGCTTGCTTTGCCTGTCTTTCTTCTTTCCTTCCTTCCTTGCTTGCTTATTTATTTATTTAGTGAGAGTGTGGGCCCTGTGTATACTGGTAACCTCACCACTGGAGAGGTCAGAGAACAGTTGTCCAGAGATGATGTTTCTCACCTTCAGCCTTGTTGAAGAGCAGGAGCTCTTGTTTCTGCTGCGGTGCTGCATACTCAAGGCTAGCTAGCATGTGAGTTTCCTAATGATGCTTGTTTCCTCCCATCTTGCTGTGGGAGTGCTGGGATTAGTTTTATACCACAAGGACTGGCTTTTTATGAGTTCTGGTAGTTAGGCTTGTGCATCTAGCACCTTTACTCATGAGCCATTTCCAGGGTCTCTTCCAACTAATTGTTTAATAAATGGTTTTGACTTTTATTTAGCCTATGTGGGTGTTGGGACTACATGTGTGCCTGGTTACTATGTATATGTAATGCCCCTGGAGGTGACAAGGTGTCAGCTCTCCTCTGGAGCTAGAGTTACAGATGTGGTAAGCCACCGTGTGGATGCTAGGAGTGGAAGGAACCCCAGTCCTGGAAGAGCAGCCAATGTTCTTTCTTTTCTTCCTTTCTTTCTTTTTTTTTCTTTTTTTTTTTTTTTTTTCCTGAAACAGGGTTTCTCTGTGTAGCCCTGGCTGTCCTGGAACTCACTCTGTAGACCAGGCTGGCCTCGAACTCAGAAATCCACCTGCCTCTGCCTCCCAAGTGCTGGGATTAAAGGCGTGCGCCACCACCGCCCGGCATGTTCTTTCTTGTAAGATATTCTTATAGTCCTTTAATAAACAATCTTAAGGAAAATGGAGGAGGAGATTAGGATGAAACACTGAAGCCTTGTATGGTTCCCTTGTAGTGAAGGGACAAGAGTGAGAAGGAAAGTAAGGTATGGTGCTAGACAGTACTATTTTGCAGAGAACGGCAGAAGGGACCTGCCTTGTTTACCGTTGGCTTACTGTACTGCTGCCCTATGGCTAGCCTTGATATCACAGCAGCCCTCCTGCCTCCACCTTCCAAGTAAGCACTGAGATCATAGCTGTGCACATCTTTGGGTTTGTGTCCTCCCGCCGCCCCACCCCACCCCCCCGGTTTTTCAAGACAGGATTTCCTAGAACTCACTCTGTAGACCAGGCTGGCCTCCAATTCAGAAATCCACCTGCCTCTGCCTCCCAAGTGCTGGGATTAAATGTGTGCGCCACCACCGCCCAGCTTGCACATCTTTGCCTGCCTTGGTATCAGAAGACTTTAGACCAGTGGTTCTCAACCTTCCTAATGCTGTGACCCTTTAATATAGTTCCTTGTGTTGTGGTGACCCCAGCCATAAAATTGTTGCATTGTTACTTCATAACTAATTTTCTATTGTTATGAGTTGTATCGTAAATGACACCTGTGAAAGGGTCATTTGACCCTAAAAGTGTCACAACACACAGGTTGAGAGTCACTGCTCTTGACTGTCCTAAGGAATGATTCAGAAGGACCATGAGACTGTGGGACCTTCAGGGAAGCATTTTCTTTCTAGATGAAACCAAGGAGCAGGCCCTCTATAGTGCCCCCAAGAATGCTGAGAGTATGGAGAAGCCATTTCTTGTCACAAGACTGGATACTCTGGGAAAGGGAACGTATTTACTCTTCAGTTCATGCCTGACCCAGACAGACATAGGGGAGTTCCCTGTGCAGCATTCTTTTCTCATGTGCTGGGTCATTGTTTTTACTATTTTGTGGTAAGTTTGCCTGTAACAAGTAATAAGGTATAGAATTGGGATTGTTTCTTGTTCCTGACTGGACTTAGGAAGTATGCATACTCCTCCCCTTGCCTTTCTCTTTCTCTCTGCTAATATTCCCCAAGACTTTACAGCCTAATCTTTTTTCAGTTCTCCTCTTACCTCTTTTATGCATAACCAGTCTTAGTAGACTGATGCATGCTCTTCAAAATATTCAAACCTTCTGATTCTTTATTTTTTTAGTGTATTTGCATGTGTGTGTGTGTGTATTCATGTGGACATGTGTGGAGTCCAGAAAAGGGTAGTGAATTTGGTCTTGGAGATGGAGTTGTGGTATTCCGATCCAAACTTTGTCCTCAGGGAGAGGAGGAAGCCCTCTTTTTTTTGGGGTTTTTTTTTTTTTTTTTTTTTTAGACAGGGTTTCTCTGTGTAGCCCTGGCTGTCCTGAAACAACTCACTCTGTAGACCAGGCTGGCCTGGAACTCAGAAACCCGCCTGCCTCTGCCTCCCAAGTGCTGGGATTAAAGGCGTGCACCACCACTGCCCAGCTGTGTGTTTTAATTTTTATCTCATAGGACTGCTAATGTCTTGTTTAGGTCAATTTCCTTTTTAAATTTTATTTCAATTGTATAAATGTTTGGCTGCCTGTTGGTCTGTATATCAGTTGTATATTGTCTAATGGAGTCCAGAGGAGTTACAGGTGGTTGTGAAGGTACTGGGATTCAAACCCTTGTCCTCTAGAAGAACAGACAGTGCTTTTAATTGCTAAGCCATCTCCCCAACTAACTCCTAGTAATATCTTTTTGTTCACAACTGTGCCTTATTGGATCTCTTATTCCTGTCAGTTATGTTGCTCTGAAACCATGTTTATAACTTGTCTGAGATCTGGTAAATGTACACTATTTATCAGCCTAAATTCAGATGTGGGCCATTTGGTTTTGCACATATGTGTTTAGGGTACGTGTAAATCCACTTGGGCTATTTCTGAAGGTGATTTCCAGCTCTAACATCC